TTATTCTGTATAGATACCGTGCCGGTACTGAGAAGCTCAAGAAATACTTGACTGATCCCCAAAGTGGCTGTGGTGATGGACAAGTCAACCCTTTCTCTTTTAACCCACACCAGAGTACCATTCTGTGTTTCACAGTTCCAGGCTGATCTTTTTGGCAATTTGCTACTTGAAGTCTACTTATCTATCAGTCACTCTTAATTTCACTTTGCACAGCTGACTGTGGTGGTATTACAGACTTCCTTATACTAATATATTTAACAGTTGTATGGCTTTGAAAGGCTGCCAACATAGAGTAGCAGCTGAAAATGCTACTTTCCAGCCAGACTGTCCTTTTCTCGATCAGCCTGCACCTACCATTTGTACTTGAATTTATTTTGGTCTGAATGCAGTCATTGGTTTTCAACAATATATTTTCTCCTAGTGGATTTTTTTTCCCCCATCACATTGAGTAAAGGTCTGTACCAGACAACTTAATATTTATAAGCTTCATTCGAAATAGCTCCTGTATGAAACTTACACTCTTTTCTGTTGAAAGGCAATCAAATGACATTATAATCAATACAGGGAAAGTGCAGACTTACCTGGGAGGCAGTGTGATATGGTGAGGAGATACGTGCAAGTTCAAATTCCAGGACTGCTCTTAAATAGCTGTTGACCTCAGACAGGTTCCTTCTGTGAATGCCATTTCCTTTAGCTGTAAATTGGACACAGGCATACCTACTTTGCATAGTTATAAGATTAATAGGTAATACATGTGAAAAGCATCTGGAATATAGTCACTGTGGTTACTATTTTTAGTAATGTTAATATTAAAATTATTTTTGAAATACTTAACTGTTCGTAAAATAAAAATGCTAGAAATATTAAGGAATCCGCCATTTCTAAGACCTGGGTTTTGACCTAGGTCCTAGGAGTCAGTAAGAGCACTGGCTGCTTGTATTTATGTTTGGCAAGGTGCATGGCTGGGGTCATTTGCTAGGTGTCTTCCTCCTTGCATCTCCCTTCGCCACGCTTCCTGCCTCTCTTCTTGTCAGGAGAGCTCTGTGGAGGAGCTTAGAGGAATGGCCTCTGAGGAGCGCTTAGGGTCTAGCCCCAGAAATATAAATACTTTAAATATTTAAAGACCATGTCCACTGGCTAATACAGGATCCAGAGAAAGTATCTGGAGACAAGCAAGGAACCCAGAGCTGCGGGCTACTTCCTGTAGCCTGAGGACTGTGCTGTCTCCTCAGCTCTGTAAGAGGCTCGAGGGAAGAATCAGAAAGCAGTAAGCTTCCTTTCAGAGCTGTGACCCTCCACCTCTTTTCTCCCCCTAGCTTTATTGAAGTTTAATTGACAAATAAAAACTGTATAGAGTAAAGGTGTACAACCTGATGTTTTGATATGCACATACGCTGTGAAATAATCACCACAATCAAGTTAATTAACACAGCCATCATTTTAACTTCCTGACTCCCTGTACAACCAGTGGCTGAAACCAAAGATCCTAATTAGCTGACTGGATTTTCTCAGACCCAATTCACCAGCAGCTCAACTGTTACAGCTGAATGGGTGGGCCAGTTCAGTCAAGCAGCAAGTGGTTTGTTCCTTCCTCTGCTCAATTAGGTCCCTAGAATGTTCATACTGGAAAGGAAGTTAATGATCAACTAATGAATCCCTCTCAATCTAAAACTGAGTACACTGAGGCTCAGTGAAGCAGAACTTGGGTGAGGTCACGCCGACAGGCAGCAACAAAGCCTGAGCAGAAGCCATTTTGGTTTTTCACATTTTATTATCAAAGAATGTAATTTGTTTTTTATTTTAGTTTTTCAGAGCCATTTAAGATAAAGAAACTGAATCTGTCTCGTCTCAAACAACTACTTCTGATTCTTTGATCTTGGGAAAATTACTTACCTTCCTGGATTTGGAAGCTACATCACAAAAGGCTCTGATGAACATAAAAGTTAGTTAAAATACAAATCATGAATGAGAAGCAAGTGTTACATCTGTGGCTCAGGGGCAGAATTACTAGGAATAATCTTCAGGTCCCCTTGCAAGACTAAGTACCTAATTTTCAACGAATAATTTTGCTTGCAAAACTTAGTTTCCTACCCTAAACTGCCTAAACTTCAGGATCCACAAAATCAGAATTTGCCCTTAGAAAGGCAGCTCTCTAAGGGGTGGTGGGAATGCTTTGGAATCAGATTGGCATAGGTTCATTTCTCCTCTGTCACAGACTAGCTGGCTGACCTTGGTAAAGTTACTTAAGATCTCTGTACATCTGTTTCCTCATCTGTGAAAGGCAGATAATGGAGTCGATTTCCTAGAGTTGTTGCAAGGCTTAAGCAGGGTAAGGTAGGAGAAGTCTGGTTTAGTGCCTGGCCCAGAGCAAACCTGCAATAAAGTGGCTCTTGTATTATGTAGGAAGGTTGCCTGATACAATGATTAAGAATTTGGGCTTCAGAACCAGGGATACTTGTATTCAAATCCCTGCTTTGTATTTCAGTACTTACTGTGTTATCTTGGGGAACTTAGTCTTTCTGAGCCTTAGTTTTCTCATCTTTAACATGGAGTAATAAACCTAGCCACCAGAGTTGTTTAAGAGTAAGTGAGATGATGTAAAGTGCTTCTCAGGGTGGCTGCTTTCAGCTGCAAGTAAAATCAAGAATAGTTAAAATAGCTTAAAAAAGTCGTTCTCAATCTTTTTGGCTACAGGCCACAATAAGAAATAGATCTTATGTTGTTACTCAGCGTACACATACACATTATCACAGGACTGATGTGTGAATCACATTTGATAATGTGTATGACCAATACTTCATACAGTATTCTAGAACGGGAAAACAGAGTGTGGAATCTCAATTCAGGCTTTCCCAGTAATATGCAAAAATAGTATTGGCATCCCAGTGTGTGACATGCTTGTTCTTTTCCTCAATCCTGTGTCATTTTAACTCACTTATTATTTTACTGATGTATAGTTGACTAATAATACTAGTTTCAGGTATAGTGATCAATATTTTTATAGATTGTGCTCCATTTAAAGTCATTATAAAATACCAGCTGTATTCCCTGTGGTGTGCAACATATTTTTGTAGCTATTTTATACATAGTAGTTTGTACCTCTTAATCCCCTACTCCTATCTTGTTCCTCTCTCCTGTCTCCTCACTGGTAACCACTAGTTTGTTCACTATATCTATGAGTCTATGTTTTTTTTTCATTTTCTGAGGAACCTCCATACTGTTTTCCATAGTGGCTGCACTAATTTACTTTTCCACCAACAGTACATTAGGGTTCCCTTTTGTCCACATCCTCACCATTTGAAATCTGTAGACTTTTTTGTTGTTGTTGAAGTATAGTTAATTTACAATGTTGTTAGTTTCTGGTGTACAGCAAAGTGATTCAGTTATACAGTGAGAACTGTCTCACATGTTAGATAAGGTTTTGATGTGTTTGTGGCAGGAGGTGAGCTCCACATCCTCCTACTCTGCCATTTGGATTTCCTCCTCTTAGTTTGCTTATTTCCTATCCAGAATCCCACTGAGTTTGGAGAGAGGAGAAAAAGATGTATGTACATGAAAAATCTACCTAAATGTACTCACTCAACCTCACTCTGATTGCCTGTTTGTTTGAAAACTGACTACACTTCTGTTAAAAAAGGACAGTGTGTCAACTTCTAGTGTACAGCATGTTTCAGTCATACATATACATACATATATTTGTTTTCATATACTTTTTTATTATAGGTTACTACAAGATACTGGATATAGTTCTCTGTGCTATACAGAAGAAATTTGTTGTTTATTTTATATATGGTAGTAAATATTTGCAACTTTAGAGCTCTCAGTTTATCCCTTCCCACCCCCCTCCCCTGCTGGTAACCATAAGTTTGTTTACTATGTGAGTCTGTTTTGTATGTAAGTTCACTAGTGCCTTTTTTCTTTTTTTAGATTCCACATATGAGTGATATCGTATGGTATTTTTCTTCTTCTATCTGGCTTACTTCACTTAGAATGACTATCTCCAGGTCTATCCATTGCTGCAGATTGCATTATTTTATTCTTTTTAATGTCTGAGTAGTATTCCATTGTATAGATATGCCACATCTTCTTTCTCCAGTCATCTGTCGGTGGACATTTAGGCTGTTTCCATGTCTTGGCCCTTGTAAATAGTGCTGCTGTGAATATTGGGGGTGCATATATCTTTTCAAATTAGTTTACTCCAGATATATACCCAGGAGTGGGATTGCTGTTTCATATGGTAAGTCTGTCTTTAGTTTTTTGAGGAATCTCCATACTGTTTTCCATAATGGCTACACCAAACGACATTCCCACCAGCAGTGTAGGAGGGTTCCCTTTTCCCCCCCCGCCTTCTCCAGCATTGATCATTTGTGGACTTTTGAATGATGGCCATTCTGACTGGTGTGAGGTGATACCTTATTGTAGTTTTGATTTGCATTTCTCTGATAATTAGTGATATTGAGCATTTTTTCATGTGCCTATTGGCCATTTGTATTTATTACTTAACACATCTAAGTGCTATAGGATTGTTCAATACCAAGTTATTCATCTGGGTGGAGGCTGGACCAGAGTATTGTCTCTACCATTTTTTTAAAGGGCATCCTAGTTCTTCCACATTGTAGACTCAGTTTACTGAACATTCTACCTGAACAATAAACCAGTTTCCTATGTGATAAATTAAAATCTTGGTTTCTCAGGGCAGTGTTCTACATGACAGATAACTACACTATAGGGATTATTACTCTATTACTGATCTTTCTTCATTCTGTAGCAAATTCAAATAGTAGCATAAGATTATAATTTTTAACAATATTCCTTGCCCTCTGAGTTACGAGCTAAATTATACAGGGTCAATAAACCTCATCAGTTAATGATGCTTGTTTTGTGGGTTACAGTTCATGTAGGGGAAGTTTTATGTACCTTTCTGAGCATCCATTAGTTTGGCATAAGATGTACTATATAGCTGGTAAGCTAATTGTGCAGTTTTTTTCTTCTGTTCTTAGGTCCCCAAACTAGCCCTGACTAAGTAGGTTGAGCAAGGCATAAGAAGACAGGTTAAAAAAAAAACACCACCATTTCTATACTGTGCCTTTTCTCTGTGGCAAAATGGCATTGAGGCAATCACTGGGACATTTTGTAAACAGGTACTTTTGACTTTTTTTTTTTAATGGCTTGTGTATTTCAGTGGAGTACCAGCCCCTTTCTATGGTGTTCTGGGTGTTAATTGATACTGTATCTAGGGCCCCTGAAGGAATCAGTCACTTGATCATATTTTAAACATTCACCCTTACAGTTCACACACTTTATATGCATTAAGCATTTTAATCATTCTTGGTATTGCACATCCTAAGCAGCAAGCTCTAGGAATTGCATCAGTTTAAAGGAAACACTCTTATGATCAAACTTCTTTACTTGAAATTTTAGTTCATGCCAATAAATAATGGATGTTATCACTTGATAAAACCATTTGCTTATGGCTATTTGGCCTAGTAATAGACCTCTTGAAACTTAGAACCCCTGAAAGCATCACATCATTCTAGGTTTGTACATTCTGGCTGTGAGGGAATGTTCTAGTACCACCCACCCTGGCACACCACTTGCACTTACACCCAACCCACCCTTCAGTATCCTGGTGAGAGTCTGAGTTGAGCTAGGACCTCCTAACAGACTGCACAATGAGTGTGTGTAGCAGGAAAGCAAGGATATATCTGAGTTCCTCTAACTGTACTGTAATGCTGCAGAGCCACTTTTGGATGAGCTAGGAGCATGCTCTCTGCTACAGGAATGGAGAAAAGAGTTTATCTTAAACTGATAAGATTTTACTGTCACAAACTCAGTGGGCTTCACTAAGCAACATCTCTTACCAAAGATACTTCTAAGAAAAAAGAAAGCCTAAGATCATTTACTATCAAATGCAAATCCTAATTTTTGGCAAAGTCCTCCACTGTTAATTGGCTCATATTCACCGTATCTGTAATTTAATTAAATTGGTAAGCAGAATCCACAGTTAATTTGTAAGGTTTAACACTAAATGCAGGTGCATTACTGAGATGAGGGAGTGAAAATCCTGGTATAAAATTTTTCCATGCTATGATCATTGTATATGGGACTAGATTCGGTTTTTGAGGGAATTCTTGCCTCTTCCCGCAAGGACTACTGCTTCGCCCTACACAGACGTGAAGAGACACCATGTTTACCGGCACACAAGATATTTAACACCTAGGAAACTTTAGAAGGATAACTTTTTGAAAAAAGAAATTTTCATCACACAGGATTTATAGGTATCTCTAAAAGTTGTTTTACATACAGAAAACTCCTTTGTTCATAGAAAAACAGTATGTTGAAAATGAGATAGATCACTTCCTACTGTGAGCTGACCACAGTAGGGGCGCATGGGCTGCAGGACAGTTTCTGTATCTGTTTAGGTCAGATACGTGAGGGCACTGGTTTTCCGAAGTGTAAATCCTCCTGTTTGTCAAAGCGCATGAAGTTGTCCAAATAAATAATAAACATAGATATATGCTAACGAAGTTTAGGTCTTAGCCAGTGAACAGAATCACAACGTGTCGTATTTAATCAAAAGTTTGATTAAGAGAAATAGCCCCAGAGGACTGCCTAAAGGAATTGGAGCCCACTCATTCCTCTCAGCTGTACCTTAGGTCCGTCTGTCTAGACCACGAGCGAGAGGAACTGCGTGGTTCATGCCCTCCGCTCCTTTCTGGCCAGCTTTTCCTATCATAAACCCTACCTCTGGGTCTCCACTCAAAGTACTAGAAAAAGAAGGTGTTCAGAACTTGCTCTGTATGTATCAGTGCTTTGAGAAGTCTTAAGTTTCCGAATACATAACTCCAACTTCCTAGAATTTCATCGCAGGCTGCAGTACTAGGAAAAACTGTTTCTCCTAACTTGAGAGGAAAAAGAAAAAAAAATTAGAGTCAGCTGTATCTGAAAGACATCCCTCTTCACCGTGGGTGGGTTGGAAGCTGTAATCCAGACCTGCGCACTGCTCTAGTCATCAAGCGATACGTCATGGTGGATTTCTGCGCTCTAACTTGACACTTGCGTTCATCTTGTTAGCCAGTTCTTAAAAATGTTTGAAGTGTAGTAGGTTTACAAGGTTAATTTCCGGTGTACAGCATAGTGCTTCAGTTATAGATACATGTATATTCCTCTCTGTATGTTTTCATTACAGGCCATTACAAGGTATTGAATACAGCTCCCTGTGCTATACAGTAGGGCCTTGCTATTTATCTATTTTATGTATAGTAGTTAGTCTCTGCAAATTCGAGATTCCCAATTTATCCCTCAACTCCTTCCCCCCAAGTAACCACAAGTTTGTTTTCTATGTGAGTCTGTTTCTATTTTGCAAATAAGTTCATTTGTCTTTTTTTTAAGACTCCACATACAGGTGATATCATACGGTTTTTTTCCTTTCTCTTTGTTAGCCAATTCTTTTTTTAAAATATTATTTATAATCATTTTACAATGTTGTATCAGATTTGCTAGCCAATTCTTACTGATCCTTCATCATAATTTTATTTTTAAATCTTTATCCTAGTATGTGAATGTATGTAGGCTCCTTCAAATACCATTAGGGAAGAGATGGGAATCCGGGCATAAAGTAAAAATAGATATTAAATATTCATTACTGTATTGCAAAATAAGAGTTCTCCAGTTATTCATGTATGTTTTACTCTGGGTAGAAGATGAGGGTCTTTGCTTGTACTATTTTGTCCACAAGTTGTGCAGAAGAGTGTAAATCTAAGAACATATTGTGGATGTCAGGAGGCCGGCTCTGCAGGCAGTTCTGTCAAAGGGCCTGGAGCAGCCCCTAACCACTCCAGCCTCGGCGCCCACATCACTAGACAGAAGCAGTTAGAAGGAATTCTCTTGTCCCCTGCAGTCCTGTGGTTTTAATTCCAAGACAGTCTGTCTACCTGGCGTGTGAATGTTTGTCTTTCATTCTCTCCTCAAGCTAATTCAGGTTATTTGTTAAACCTGATTCTCTGTGACCGGATGATGCCTTAGTCTTCCTGTGGGGCGCTTTTCACCAGTTAGTCCTCAGTGGGCGTTTTATCACGGTAGCAGTGCAGGTGCTACCTAGAGGAATGAAGCCATGCGACGCCATCTCTTTGTGCAATAATACACTTTTATTTTCCTTTTACCTTTGCAGTCATCTGTGAGTAACCGTTGTGTAAACAATAGAATGGAATGAAATTACATTAAATTGTATGCAAATGGCTCTAGAACACCTTAACAATTGACAAGGCAATTATAAATAACTTTTCCTTAGTAATATATATTTGCTTTTTAAAGTACATTAAAGAGCTGCCATGTCTAGGGTTAGCTAGGAAACAGCAAATGGTACCATCCGGGAGCCATCTCCCTGAACGTTTAGATTCCAATTTTGAAAATCCTAAGGTTTACTCTTACCATAATATATAGTCAAGCAAAGGGCTATTTGGGTTGAAAGTATTCTTGAAACTTAACAGCATTTACCTTTTGAGTCATTGCACAAAACCCTTTATTATTTTTCACTCCGTCTGGGTATGCTGCAGAATTTCAAGTAAAACACGGATTCCGGTATTTTTCAAGTTTATCGCCTTTGGAACAACAGATCCTCTCACTTCAGGAGAAGTCATATCAGAGGTGGGTACATATTCAGCAATCTAAGAGAATGGCAACATTTTATATAGAGCATCCTAACGTTCCAGTGAAGCAAAACTTACATCTGCCACTTCCTGTGGAGAAAATTTTAGATCTGAGACTATTCCAGAGTAAAGCAGCCTCAGGCACATTCTTAATATGAAAGTTTTTGTTTTTTGTTTTTTGTTTTGCAAGGCACCTCCCTCTCCCAAGAGACAATCCGATTGTGGACTGGTTTTTAGGCAAAACAAAAGAGAAAGCATTCTAGTTCCTAATTCAGTCATTTCAAAAATCAGAAGTTATAAATACTCCAAAGACAGACCTGAAACTTTCTGTTTAAATAACGAGAGAGTAACTGCAAGAAGCATATAATCAAAAACTTTTTTTTCCTTATAGCTAAGGTGTGTAATGCATAAATATATGAAAAATAAAATTCACAGTCAGTTTTAAAACTAGAATTCAAGTTTGGCTAATAAATCTTAATTTTACAAGTATATTAATTTCTAAATACAACATAAGAGGCAGTATTGTCAGATGTACAATTAAAGTATTATAACAGAAAGAACGACCATGAGAGAAGTAGGCTTCTGATAGAAAAAATTCCTTTTGTTGCCGATAAGTAGGACCACCTGAGTGGGTTTCGGATTCTTTTCTCTTAAGGGATATCCAAATTGATTGCTGAGAATATTAGGTAGCTTTTGGAAAAATAAGCAACAGTCGTGCAGTTGTGGCGTTTGCTTGTTCTCATACAGTGAATTGCTAGGGAATAAAGCAGAAACTCAGTGTTGTAAGTTTAAAAAAAATTTTTTTTTATCCCGTCATGTGGAAGCCGGCCTCTTCACAATCCTCTGATTTTGCTAGGGGGCGGCAGGAAGTGGGCAGGGGAGGGACAAGTCGGGGGCGGCATGACAGATCAGGGCGATGTCAAGGGACAGACATCAGCTGACACTCAACTGAGCAAACCCAATCAGCTTCACTTCATCAGGAATCTCCGACCCATCGCAGCCAGAAGCCTGAAAAGGAAAAAAGAAACCTCAGTGCTGGTTGGTCGCCGTTGCTTTTTTACTGACTTGTTCCTGTGAAGGCAGATCCAGGCCCGGTGTCTCATCTCTGCCAGCAAACATCCTAAGAATCACGCTCTTCAGCAACTACTGGGTGCTCACTGCCCTGAGAAGCCCAGTCCTCATGCCATCAAGTACAGAACACAGAGGAGCGGGATGTAGCAGCCGCGAGAACACCGCCGTGCCCACGCCTGCCGCCCTGGAGTTGTCAACAAGCGGCGTGATTTCAACAGCTAGGTAAATGAGCTCCTTAACAACTTCTAAAAGAACGTTACAAAAATGAGCAGAAGAGCTTTAACAGGTCACGCAAGAGTAATTTGTTTAGCAAAATCATCTGTCAAACTGGCCAGGGGAAAAACA